CCTTTTTATCGTAGGGAAGAAGAATCAGATGATGATTATGATGATGATGATGATGATGATGATGATGATGATGACGATGAGAATGAGGAGGGCCACATTGATAAACATGACAATGAAGAAAGTAATGACAATGATTTCAATGATGAAGATGATTGTAAACGAAGTGATAACAATGGATATCATAATGATATTGATATCAATGACCATGGTGTTGATGATGATGATGAAGATAATGATGACATTGTAAACCAAATGAAACCTTCCATTGATAACGACAGCACACAATCTGCAACCAAAGTTAACAAGGATAAAAATGTCAACAACATAAATGACATACACAAAGATGATGAAGACGATGATGATGATGATGATAATGATGATCAATACCTATCTGAACCTAATTATAACGACACCACAGATATTCCCAACGAAACAAAAAATGAAATTCAAAGAACTAACGATACAGGGAAAAAATTGGATAGAAAATTTGACGGTAGTGAGATTCAGAGCTTGAAACTTGAAGACAGAACTTGAAACCAGCTACACGTATTTGGTGGTTTGCACTGGTTTTTGAGGAAGCCTTTATTGATGAAATGTTTCCAGGACATTAAGGTAACTCAAAGGAAAATATTGTATGTCTTTGTCCAATATAGTTGTATGTATATTCAGATTGATTAAAAAAATGAAATATATTTTTTTAACTGGTAGTGTTTTTAGCTAGAATTTAACATTTGTTTCTCATAGACAATAACTTCTCCAGGGTGCACACAGGTCCTTGAAAACTCCTTGAATGTAAAACTTCCTTGAAAACTACTTGAATGTGCCTTTTAGTCCCCGTCCATACTTGCCCGAAAATTTTTGTATCCGCAAATTTTTTTTTGCGAATACGAAAATGATTGCGTCCACACGCAGCGTATTCGAATCGTTTTCACCGTCCACACGTGTCCGTTTTCGTAAAATTTCCGGATACGGATACAAAAATTTCCGGACATGTGTGGACGCAACCCGTATCCGAAAAATATAATTTGCGAAAACGAAAATTTCCGGATACGTGTGGAAGGGGCCTTAAGATGTCCTTAAATTTACATGAATCATCCTTGAAAAATAAAGCAATTGTCATACACTGATTATACAAATAATAAATTTCGTAATATTCCCATGTAAATTCCTGATAATAATGGAAACTGACTGCAGACTGGGAGTAATTAAGTCTCTATGCATGTGCTAGAGCGACGTGAAAGTTTCTGCTCTTTGGTCCATTTCCCGTTATGAAACGAGGTCAAAAAGGATATTTTGCTGTCCTTGAAAACATTGCAAAACTCCTTTAAATGTCCTTGAAAAGTTCTTGAATTTTTTTTAGGGAATACCTGTGTGCACCCTGTACGTTTACCATTGAGGGGAGATCTGAGGGATTCGTATTAGGAATATATTCATTTATTCTACTTGAGGGATAGTCATTATTGATCGGGGATGGCTATAATTATTAGATAATAACAAAGAAACGATCTGTAATGTAATTGACCTAATTCACTATGACGTCACTGCTTGTTATGTGGGGGATAGAATCGCCAAATCCAATAGAAAATTCAACAAAATTTGCTCCTACGAAACATTTTAAAGTGCACCTACACCCTATTTTTTTCCGATCTGGAGTAAAACTTTAAGGCACAAAAAGCAGATTTTTGAAAAAACTTTTTAGATCCATCAAAACGGGAATTTTTGGTGCTCTGACAAAGATTGGAAAATAGACCATTTTAGCCGAAGTAAGTGAACCATGGCCGTAATTACAGAGGAGATTGGGGCGAGCGGTGTGTGACGTCACCACAGGCCAACACAACCAAAGATTACCACAGATTCTATACAGATTTTTSTAGACTATTCGCTTGCTTTTATCAAATTTCTTAAATACGTTTTATTTCCAAACTCTAAAATGCCCAACAAATGTGTAGTTTGGGGATGTAGCAACATTCCAAATATTCCTGAAGGGATTGCCCTTCATAGTATTCCGTATTTTAATGATGAAAGACCCGAGGCCAAGAAGCGAAGGACTAGACTACTTCTCTTCGTGGATTGATACGGGTTTTAGAACAATTTTCGGTGAATTAGCGTTGATTTGACCCCGTCCGACGACCAAGATCCTTTGCGTTTAAGCAATAGATTGCTGAAGATAGTTTTGATGTGACGTCATAGTGAATTAGGGCAATTGAATGGGTTGTTATTGTTCTCTTATAAGTATGAGTCTCATCTAAGCGACTGTTGATCTTGATTGTTTTGATTGATTGTCTAAGATCTTGTCACCTCGTGGTTTACACTATAGGTGTTTTGACTTAGAGTAGAGTCAGACAAAGTTAGAGAAAAAGTCTGGAGCCACGAGAGAGAGAGAGAGAGTTAGGAGGGAAGGAATCCAGATTTCCTTCCTTCCTTCCTTTCTTCCTTCCTTCCTTCCTTCGTTCATTCGTTCATTCGTTCATTCGTTCGTTCATTCATTCGTTCATTCGTTCACTCATTCATCCATTCATTCGTCCGTTCATTCATTCATTCATTTAGTTTCCTTTTGGTTTTCTTTTCTTTCTCGTTTTCTTTCATCGTAGTATCCGTTTTTTTTCTTTAAAAAATATTGGAATTTTACTCATTTATTCGTTCATTCATTCTTCCAAACATTTTTGTCTCACATAAGAGGACAGACACAAAAGACTGATGTCTATTTGTTAATACAACCACAGGGAGCCCAATTTAGATTAAAGTGAATGGTGAAATTAAAATCGAAAAAAAAAAAAGTAATTACTTCCCAAATTCGAGGTCAAGATGTCTTCCGTAATACGATAGAGTAAAAATATCGATAAAAAAATGCACTAGAACATTTTATTTTTCGCGCGCGCCGCTTTGTTTTCCTATAGGATTCCCCTAAGGTATCTAATGTCGCTCTTATATTTATGGATCATCATTCATTTTATTCAAAATTGGGCTCCCTGTGCAATAATAAAAACGATAAATACTTCTCATTTTTAGCGATAAAAACAACCAACGGAAAAAGGTTTATCTGTCTGTCCACTTGTTCTTCCTTTTCACCTACGTCATGAAAAATTGTGCCAGGATTTATATAAAACAAAACTTCCACAGGCCGAAAAATTAGTCAAAAATATATATCTCAGCCAAAATTCTAGCTAAAAGAAGTTTAGATTCCTAGATACAAGCGATTGTATGCCCATAATGTAGTTGAGATGTATGGGTCCGCCATTTTAGTGTCTTATTGAGGGACACCAATATGGCGGCCAAATCACGAAGTTTAGAAATAATGTTTGTACTGCAAACATTAAAAAATTTTAATAACAAAAATCATCCAAATAAACTTCCCAATCATCTACTAAGTTAAAAACGTATTAATTCCATCAAACTTCCCAATTTTTAATGCTTTGAAAATGCGTGACAGGATTGCGTGACAATAGGACTCGCAATAAATCCACAACCAAACATCGATAATACAAGATTATTTTGGTAAAACTTGTCTTATAATGCTATGAATAAAATATTCGACAAACGGTTTTGTGGGGTGAATACTTTAGTTTTTTGATGACGTCACGTGAAAACAAAGAATTGATGATAAAAAAATGACCAATCAGCGCGCGAAAAATTTGTAAGTTATCGGAAAATTGTTAACCATACCACTCGGAGCCAACCAAAAAGGGCCGTTGCTCCGTCCACACTTTTGTATCCGCAAATTTGTTTTTACGGATACGGGTTGGGTCCACACGTGTCCTCAAATTTTTGTGACTGTATCCGCAAATTCTACGAAAACGGACACGTGTGGACGGCGAAAACGATTCGAATACGCTGCCTGTGGACGCAAACAGTTCCGTATCCGCAAAAAAGATTTTGCGGATACAAAAATTTCCGGATACGTGTGGACAGAGCCTAAAGTACCATTGAACTCAAATGGCTTCCCCGGAGCCAATCAAAACGGACCGTGGCTCTCAATCCATTTGGAACTAATGGAAAAGTACCAATAAGCCATGGGCAGAACCCCGACAAGTTTGATAGTTGTGTCTGAAGATTTGTACAATTTGGTTACTCAATCTTATAATATCTTACTGTCTATTCACGCGTAAAGTAAGTGGTAACATGGATCACTTTATGATAATATTCTAGGAATGTTCTATTTTTCTGTGGCCAACTACAGCGAAAACCACAAGATAGCGAAAAGATAACAATAACGCTTCTGATTGGCTGATTAAACATTCGCTGTAATGCGTGATCTGCAACTGGGGCTATCATGTTTTGAGAGCCCACACAACCGAACAATTTTAATTCGTTTTTGCTTCTTTACTTTTGAAAAGTTTAGACGTTCTTTTACTCGCTCGACCACACTTGGTAGCACAGGAAATGTTGTTTATATAGAAATGTGTTTTTGAATATAATAATTGATTTCTTATTTTCTTGTATTTCTCGAAACTTAATAAGATACTAATAACGCGAAATTCCAAGGTTTCTATTTTACTTATTATCAACAGAATTCTCAACAGATAGCATAATACATCAATCAATCATATGTACTTATTGACTGAGTTGGGTCGGGCCGGACGGGAAAATATTTGGTTCAAGGTCATGTCGTACGGACCGAGCGCAAAGCATTTTATCATAAGACCCAATTTTTATCGTAAAAAAAGCTGAAAGATCTTGCTAAACTGGATAAATACAGCACGCGTAAACGAGAACGTGTGGAGAACTCAATCTAACTCCTTTATTTCAAAACAACATGGCGTATATCAACGCTGAAACAGACAACTGATTAATATGCCATGCGGTCGTGAGACCGCTGGCCACGCATACTTATGCTCAATCTATTACANACATGGCGTATATCAACGCTGAAACAGACAACTGATTAATATGCCATGCGGTCGTGAGACCGCTGGCCACGCATACTTATGCTCAATCTATTACATCTCCTCCCCCCTTATTTAACGTTCCCTTAGAGTTCAATGTTCATAAACTTATGTGGTCTACAAGTTCAGTCTATCTGGTGGTCGTCGAGACCTAACTGGGTATCTCCGGTTCTGTGACTCCACTTGACAGGGTGTGGAGGGACAGCTGGCTTGTGTTGTACTATCCCTAACTTCCGTGTCCTCCATCGATGGGGTCAAACCTTCTGTGGGGTTCGTCGGCATGCTTTTCTCTTGTGGAATAACAACTGTCTCGGTTGGTTGTACTGGATTTGGAATTAGATTCTGCCATTCGACTCCCTCCTGAGGACTTGAAGTAATATCTGATTCCTTGAGCTGGTCAATATGTCTCCTCCACACTAGGCCTGGCGCAACTTCTACCTCGTAATGCAGAGCTCCTGTTCTTGCCACGACTACTCCTGGCTTCCACTTCTCGGGACTCTGGTATACTCTGACAACTACCTTTTTACCAATCTGTAGTTCTCTCCTCTCCTTCTCTCTGCCTCCCCCTTGCTGCTCCTGTCTGCTATGCACYTTAGCTCTGGGGTCCGGCTTCATCAAGTCTAAACGACTGCGTAGTCTCCGTCCGAAAAACAACTGTGCTGGCGATTCACCAGTGGTTGCGTGTGGTGCGTTTCTGTACGACAGCATGAAATTTGCTAATTTGTGGTTGAGGTTTGTCTTTACTTGTTCCTTTTTCATAGCTTTCTTGAAACTCTGTACGAACCGTTCCGCTAAACCGTTCGTGGCCGGGTGGTATGGGGCAGACGTGATGTGCTTGATTCCATTTCGTTTTAGGAATTCCTGGAAGATGTGTGCGGTGAACTGAGGCCTATTATCGCTGACTAGAGTTTGAGGGACCCCATACCTGCCAAAGATTTGTCGGAGCTTCTCAATGGTTTTTTCTGTTGTCGTAGACTGCATCACCTCCACCTCAGGCCACTTGGAATATGCATCGACTACAATCAGGAACATTCTGTTTAGGAAAGGACCCGCAAAATCTACGTGTATTCGTTGCCACGGTCCATTGGGCCATTCCCAGGGGTGTAGTCTTGTGATTGGTGGTTCATTCTGAATCAGTTGGCAACCAGAGCATCCCTTAGCCAAAGTCTCTATCTGTTTATCTAATGTTGGCCACCAAATCAAAGTTCTTGCTACTCCTTTCATTTTCCCGATTCCTAGGTGCCCCTCGTGCAGTTCTTCTAACACCTTATCTCTTAGTTTGCTGGGGATGATTACCCTGTTTCCCCATAGCAAACATCCATCCTGGATAGTTAATTCGGACTGTCGTACGTGGAACGCCGCCAACTCTGGTGGGTACTGCGTTGGCCAACCAGTCTCGGTGTAYTCCCTGACTCTCGAGAGCAACGGGTCCCTCCGCGTCTCCTTCTTAACATCCTCCGTGGTCACCGGAAGGGGTTCAAACTGCGTTAACTGGAGAACCGTTACTGGATCTATGGCATCGTCTTCATTGACGTCCTCCGCTTCTTGTAAAGGCAAGCGTGACAGGCCATCTGCGTTTCCGTGTGCTTTGGTGTTCTTGTACTCGATGGTGTAATTGAATCCTGATAAGAACAAGGCATATCGTTGAAGTCGCGCCGCCGTCATCGCTGGGATTCCTCTCCCTGGGTGAAATATGGAGGTCAGCGGTTGATGATCTGTATACAGTTGGAATGTTCTTCCGAACAAATAGGCATGGAATTTCTTTACCCCCCACACGAGGGCTAGCGCTTCCTTGTCTATTTGCGAATAATTTCGCTCGGCCTTCCGTAGACTTCTTGACGCAAAAGCGATTGGTCTTTCTGTTCCGTCTTTAAACACGTGCGATAAGACAGCTCCAATTCCCACTGGTGACGCGTCGCATGCCAATCTCAGTGGCAACTTGGGGTCGTAATGCGTCAGCACTTGATTCGAGGTGATCATCTCTTTTGCTTTAAGGAATGCTCTTTCACAGTCTTTCGACCATTCCCATTCGGTTCCTTGCTCGAGCAGTTGATTCAAGGGCTGTATCACTGTGGCTAAATTTGGCAGAAATTTATTGTAGTAATTCACAAGCCCTAGAAATGAACGGACTTCCTTTACATCTTTAGGGCGGGGTGCTTTTAGAATGGCCTCTACTTTGTCTTTCTTCTTGTGGAGACCTTGAGCGTCAATCTCGTGGCCGCAGAACTCAATCTTGTCTTGTAAGAAAGCGCACTTCTGTGGGTTTGCTCGTAGACCATGTACGCTCAGCTGCTTCAGCACCTTTTCCAGGTTCTCCATATGTTTTCCTTCAGTTGGGCCTGTAATCAGGATATCATCTATCAGGCATGTGGTGTTTGGGATATCTCCTACTAGTTGATCCATCGTCTGTTGCCAGATCGCTGGGGCCGATGTTATCCCAAACACCAGTCTGTTGTACTGGAAAAGACCCATATGCGTATTTATCGTAAGAAACTTCTTCGACTCCTCCTCCAGCTCCATTTGATGATATGCTTGCTTTAGGTCGATCTTACTAAATTTCTGGCCACCTGCTAAGTTTGCAAAAAGATCTTCGATTCTTGGTAGGGGATATTGTTCTGCCTGTATCTGCGGGTTTACTGTGACTTTGAAATCTCCACACAGTCGGACGGAGCCATCCGATTTTAGCACGGGTACCACGGGTGTCGCCCACTCGCTCCATTCGGTTTTGGTAAGGACTCCTTTGTTCTCCAGATCTCTGATTGCTTCCTCCACCTTGGGCTTGAGTGCGTACGGTACCTGTCTCGCCTTGCAAAACTTGGGGGTGGCCCCTTCCTTCAAGGTGATCCTTGCTTTCCGGGAAGTTAACTTCCCTAACTGACCTTCAAAAACATCTGCATACTTCTTCCGAAGATCTGTCACTGTAATAGGAGTGTTGGAAACTCCCCTCGCTTTGTTGAGTACTCTGATATTTTTCCAGTCAAGTGCGATCTCTTTCAACCAATCCCTTCCAAAAAGGGCCGGCCCCCTTGTCTCGACTACATACAACGGCAGCTGCTTCTCTTGTTGGTTGTATGTTACTTTCACTTGGGCCACCCCCCTTGGGGTGATCTTCTCCCCGCTGTATGTCTTTAACTGAACCTTAGTCCTCTTCAATAATCGCTCTTGGTAATGCTCTCTGAACGTACTCCACGGAATCACGGACACTGCGGCACCAGTGTCGAGCTCCATCTTGATCTCCTTGTCTTCTATCTTCGGTGTTACCCAGATAACGTCATCCTTACTTGTGCCGAGATCATGTAACTTTAAACTGCCAACATCCTTGTATTCGTCATGATCTTCCTCGTGTAATGCACGCACATTCTTGTCGTTGTTCCTTCTGTTTCTCTGGCTGGCCCCCTCGGCATCCTTGCTCGATAGTTTGGATTTACAAACTGGCCTGATGTGCCCTTGTTTCCCACAATTATAGCAAGTTGCGTTTCTAAAACGGCAACGGTTACTATTGTGGTCTTTTGACCCACATCGATAGCACTGTCGATCCACTTCATCTTGGTGTCGTACTATCTTATGTACCTTGTTCTCCTTCTGTGTGCCCTCTTGTAGCTCTAGAGTGTCCCTAGTTGCTGTTTCCATGGCTAATGCTATCTCCATTGCTTTAGCAAATGTCAGCTCCCT